CCTCCATCAGATGGTGACGAAGTCCTGAACAATTCCCCTCCTCAGGAATCATCCTGAAGTGCACAATGCAAATAAAACCTATCAGAAGATGTTTCCTTCAGCACACAGGGGAGAGTTTTGATTCACAAAGATTAAGCTATTTCAGACCAGCTCTTCAAAATCCTCTTTTGACTGTGAATGACAAGTGAAAGCACAACTCCCAGAGCTGATGATCAGGCACAGCTCTAACACCAATCGATAATATGAGTAAGTTTTCAGGATTTTTAAAAGCCACACTAAAAATGGCTTTGTATGGGCTTTGTCAAAGTGATAACAATTTCAAAACTGAAACTTAATCCCATCTTGCTTCAGTCTCCTTATGAGGGACACTGGGCTTTCTTTATCCTTGTAATTAGAATAATGTTATAATGAAATCTTGAATAATTTTTATTTAATTTCATGGTGGTGCAGTGTTTAGCCCTCTTAGAAGCATGTAAGAGCAAGAAAATTCTTGGAGATATAAAGAGCTATGGCTGGAGCAAAATGTGCTCTGATGCTTTACAAAATCAAGAGAAGAGCAGTGAAAGATGTTCAAACATGCCAGAAAAGGAGGAGAGGGTAAACAAAAGAAATTCATGGATGAAAGAGAGGAATCTTTCATAGCAGTTCCTCAATTCTTAAGCAAGAACAGAGAGAACAGATCTCATATGCAAGGATCTGTTTAAAGCACAGAGAAGTGAGGGAGGAGAGGGAAAAAAAAGAGTACACTAAGTAGATAAATATGAAAGGGAAATCAAACTGAGGTGGGTGTGGATAGAATGAGTATAAAAATGCTAACCCGGCTGTTATGATTTCTTGCAAAGTTTATTATTTTTAAAGTACCTGGAATAGACCTTGCAAAGCCTTAAATTAAATGATGTGCAATTTTCTCAGGCAGATCTTTGTTACCATGTTACTTTATAATTTGCAACTTCCATACTTCTCAGTGTGGATTTTGTGATTAAATCATTGACACCTTAGAAAATCAGGTCTAAATCAGCTTTATCAAGGGACTCAAATGCTGAGCAGGAATAACTTGGAAGTATTATAAAATAGGATACATAATATTAAATAAACAATTATAGTGACAATGAAACAAAATAAAATATTGCAAGTGAAAGACGTTTCATGTGGAAATTAAACAGAACTTAAATGAATCAGATTAACTGTTTCCTTTTAAAATGTCAGCAAAAAGCTACTCAGTATAAAACATGGAGTTTTCTAGACAATAGCATTTTAAAAGTTTGAGGTTTTTTTCCATGAAGACTCTTTGAGATGATTATAAATGAAAAACTTCTTGTTCTTCAATTCCTTTGCATGAGCACAGGGCTTCTGCACCTTTAATCATCTCCACTGGTCAATACAGACCTTGTTCTCTTTCCACAAAAATACAAAGCATTACTCATTCTCAAATTTAAAGACTTTTCTATATGCAGGAGGGGATGTGGTATTTCACTTCTGAAAGAAATGCATGTTTTTACCAGGCTCTTCTAACTTTTACTGGAAGTACTGACACCTGATATGTCACCCACACTTTCACTTTCTGTGGTTTATCCCCAATACTGCAGTTTGTTATTGTCCAAAAGGAACTTTAATGATAATTCCTGCTCAATAGTTAATAGTTAATGTCCTTTATTCAGTCCTTGTGTCACCCATCCCAAGATTTTTGGATTACCCTGTGACTGATTAGGCAGCTGTTGACTCTGTGCTGCCAGTTCTGTAACGTCCTGACTGTCACCACCTCAGTGCTGCAGTGGTGCTTCCCTGATGCCACCTATTTAACCCCTTTTGGACAACTGGAGAACATTTAGGTAATTCCACAAAAGAATTCCAGATCTAAGGCATTGTATAATTTCTGCATGATAGGGAAATGCTTTTTTTCTCAAATCTGCCTCTACTGCATCAGAAATTAAAAATGGATTACTTTATCTCCAGCTCATGTCTGAACTTCATCTGAAAAACAGAGGAAATTCCTAATCCTGAGGGATTAATCAGAGGAGAGGAATGGATGTTCCTCGCTTTCTCCCTCAGTTTGGTATCTCTGCTGAGCAACACCACGCACTGTACACATAAAGCCTTTCCTTCAGCTCCTACACCCTGAACAGTTTTGCCCTTGCCAGTGAGGAAGAATACATGTTATGGCAAAAATGTGCAAGAGAGATTATTTTTAATGGAATTTTTCATTGCTAAGGAAGTAATGATACAGCAGCCTCACAGCACAATGTCTTATTCTAGAGATGAACTGTCATTTCATTCATGTCATTCAAACAGCAAACTTTCCTTCCTTTCTCTCTAAAGCCAAACATTCAGCCTTCTCATCATTTGAGAACCATAACATTTCCAAAGAGGCCTAAGACAACATTACTGCATGCCACAAATTACTCTTGCAAGTTCAAATGATGAAATGCAAAGTGTCAAACGTACACTTTTTCTTGTCAAATTGATATTCTTCCACTGTATGTTTAATGTACAACTTATATAACTTCCATCAACTTGCTGGGTTTCTTGGAGGCAAAAAGGCAGTTCCTGTTAAGCCTTTTTTAAATGGCAAGGAAAGAAATCTCAGAAATGTTTCCCTCTGCAAATCCTCCTAATATAGGTGCTGAAAAACAAGCCACCCCATGACAATGTCCACAGTGTCTCCCTTCCCTGGGTTTACAAATGTATTGGGTTTGGAATAATTTTTCCAAATTTCTGGGCATTTTCTCTGAACAATCAGCTTGGAAAAATCTCATGTCTTTGCACATGCAAAATTTCCAGACACTCTTGATGGGGGTGATAAGTTGTATTTGATAGAGCTGAAGGGTAACAGGGGTAAGTAACTCATGTCATCCACAGCTCCACTTAAAGGATCGACTATTTCCATTAAACTGCTAAAATATGGAGCATAAACATCAAATTCATTACCATTAGAGGGTTTCAATCCACAATTCCAACAGAAATACCTGCATACAGACACTACATAGGCATACATACAATCAGTGTTAACTCATTTGCAGGATCTTACAGTGAGATTCCACTCATTTCTAAGCCCCAGGGAAGCAAAAGCTCTCCAGAACAGCTCTGACTGAAGTGGGTACAGTCCCCTGCACTTGAAGTTAAGGTGGACCATGACTGCTTTGCTGAGTTACAACACAATGATTAAAAATAGACTTATACACTGAAACTATTTATAATTCAACCTCGAACAAGCCTCTGCTCCTCAGGCTCCTACAGAAACTGTTCTACAAAGACCATGTCCTGAAATTTGTCTCTCTAACTGTTGGTACGAAAATCTAAACTGGTTTGTTGTCTGCTTCATTTCCTCCTCAGAGGATGTGGTGAATACTTAAGAAAGCCCATTTTTTCCTCTCTAACCTCCATTAGGATACACATGCCAGACTTGGGCTTGATTCCTTTCTAAATTTCTGTTTTACATGGTGGGCTAAAAGCATTTCACAGGTGTTTGCTGGAACTCATTAGACTATTTGGAACTCCTTCATGCTCTCTAAAAGGCAATTAAAATGTGTCTGCAAATTACCTCATGTGGTCTGAAGCACAGCTGCCTCTTATCCCCCTGTTACTACGCTGAGCGTCCAAACAGAATAGAAAAGCTGCTTTGATACCTGCAGTTTACAAAGGCAAATCGTGCCTTCATGAGTGACAAAAATGCTCTGCATGCTTCTTAAGTCTTCAATGTAATTGCCTTTGTTGCCACAAAGAAAGAAAGAAAGGAGAAAAAAAAAAGGTTTATAACGAGCTAAGTGACACAACTGGTTAATTAAGTAGGTAAGAGAGGCAATGAGAAACCAGCCAGTACTCAAGTAATTCAAAGAGTAGTTGCTGCATAGATGGAAAACCTGGGCTTGTGCAGGTAAAGCATATCTGATGTTAAATGGCTGAGATGCCTGGGATAGTATCTCTTGTTTCTGCTTAAAAAGGAAGGGCAAGAAAAAATCCATTACCCCAGCAGGTGTACTTACAGAACTTATTGTTGTTCTGCAAATATCTGGCAATTAAAAACTCAGCTTGAGTTTCTATTTTAGCTACTTCTCAGAGAGATCAAATTTGCTAAAATAAAGACATTTTTTACTGCTTTCTCAGTCCTTACTGAACTCCCCTCTTCAAGGGAAATTCTGCTCAAGAGACTGAATGAAACTTAAACCTTTCTTGTTTCAGTTTTGTCCAGTCTATTTTATTATTTTCCCATCAGATGCTGACAAATTAAAGTAAAATTCAACAAGTTTGTTGAAGATTTGCTTTACTGTGTGCATTTGGCAGTTCCAGGGTGGCACAGTGTTGAGTCAGCTCCAACATTTCTGTCCCATAGTAGAAAGGAAAAGGCACGTCTGGCCTTTTATACTCTTGGGGTAACACAGAGTCCAGAAGAGCTTCCAGGCAACGGCCCCATGCTTGTCTGTCCTTTGTGTTCCAAAATTACTGACATAAACGGCAGCAAGCAGGGCTGCAAAACCTTTAACCCTCCCTGAATCTTCAGCACCCATCACTTGTAACTTACTTTGAGCTCTAACGATTGCCTTGGCCTTTTCCAGCTCGAGCTGATCCCTCATCCCACCCCAGCCCTGGTATTTTCCCACCTTTTCTGCCCATTCAGCCGTGATCTCCACTGCAGCCTCAGCAGTCACAACACTCCATTACACCCAGCTGCAAGAACCCTGAACAGCACACCTGCATTTATGCCAAACTTCCATCTCTCCCATTTCTCAGCTTACTCTCTCCTTTCACTCTTCTCTTAGCCCTTAATACTCATTCCCTTTTTGTTACTTTCTTCCAGTAAACCACAACAGATGCATAAGTAACTCCCATGCATTTTAAACTAAGCAGTGCCTCGCAGTCACAAAACAACATCCTGTTGCTTAACGGGAAACTTCTCCTGAGCCTTGCCAAGTCATCTGTGGGCTCAGGAAGACTCCTTTGGAAGCAGCAGCTGTAGGTCTGAAGGCAACCCTAAGTATAATCCACTTTTTAAAGTGCAGACTCACGGCAGTGGTGAGTGCAGTGAATTGCATTGCATTGCAATTCTTAACATGTAGAGCAGACCTGCAGATTACAGCGAGATTCATCTGAAGATACAGAAGAACGAAGTGAGTCTAGACTCTAACATCCACAGCAACTGCACAAACCAGAAAAAACCTTTGGGTGTGATCCCACAAACTGGTGTGTGAGTAATTTTAACAGACCCAGTAGGACAATATACTCAAATATGAAACCCCAGCAAACAAGGAACCCAAACACCACCATATTTCTGGCCCCTGAGCCTTTGCAGCACAATTGTGAACAAACAGCACATTCTTCTCAAAATAGCCTGAGGGATAACCTTGTCTTTTAAGTGAATACAAAGTTATTAGCTTTGTCAGAGTCTTAAGAGACATCAAAGTAATTGTTTTGGTTGCTGATTTCCCATCTGCTTTCAATGATCAGAAAAATAAATTATTATCACACAATATTCAACCATCAAGTTTCCACAATGAAACCTGCAGTAAGTTAAATAATGCACTTTTTTGAAAATGTTTAAGATGTTGTCTTCTGAATTCCTACAGCACCTTGTCTAGCCTACATCCATCTTAGCTGTTTATTAAATGCATTGTTAAGGCTTATGATGTGATCATGTGAAGTAATTATCATACCTTTATCCAGCTTTCAGAATCACAGGAGAAATCAGAAGTTGTATTTCAGTTTTAGAAGACTGAACACTTCTTCCCAGTACAAGAACAAATTAAAATTCTACCAATAGATGAATTATTTTCTTACATGACAGCTGAGTACAAAGGTCTTTCCGAAGCTTTGGAATATGTCTAAGGAAAGTTCCTTTATAGCAGAAGTGTTCTGGAACTTTTGAACTTCCATCTGTGCTCAGCTGAAGCACAGTCAGGCCCAGGCCAAGATGGACAGACACACACTAATTACAGTTAATTACACTAACTAAACGTACTTGTAATTTTGTAAATAAAGTGAACCCACAATTAAATGCATGAAGTAGTAATATGACATTCACAGTAATTATACTCTTTTCAGAAGTGTAGAAATTTTGGGCTGTCGTCTTGTAAACCCTTACATGACTTTAGTGGTGATGTCAGTGACAGTTCTGAATTTCCTTGCTTGGAATGCAAATTAAGATCCTATTGTTACACTAATGGGAATTTTTTAATTTAGTGGCCACACATGTTGTGTCATACAAGCATATTTAGTGTCACAGAGCATATTTAGTACTGCCAGTACTCTAAACTTTGACTTGTTAAACTTGTAGCAAAGTCATGTAGAAGTTTTACTGACTAAATCTAAAAGTTCTCTACCTATGACTCACTTAATTATCAGCTCCATCTGTAGAAGGATGATTCATGTAAATGTCTTGCAGGATCTGTTTCGCAATAAAGCGAAATTTCCATTTATTTTAGAAACTCAAGATTAAAAAATGGACAAGAATTCTAGGGAAAAAATGCCCGTTTTCATTCCAGTTTGTTGTGCTATAATTTTCAGCAGCATACTGTGCATTTATTTTTACACTTAAAGGAAATGCATAAAAAAAAGCCCTATTTGTAATGTTCATAATTAGTATGGAAAAAAAAAGTTATGCCTTCATTCTGTTGATACCTGTCTAGTTACTGCTTTAACTTTACCTGCTTTGTGGTGTCAGTTTGCACCAGTCTTCTCACCTTAACTGAACTTTTTGGGAAGTGTGCCATCTTTTATGTGTTTGTGTAGTAACTGGAATGGTTGGAGGAACTGCAGCTCCTACGTAGCGCAAACTCCAGTGAGGCTACTCATCTGCTTTCAATTATGGATTAAGTATGTGCTGAATCATGTTAAAGAGATCTTTCTCTTCATGTTGAATTAAATAACATTTATTCCTCTTCATCCTACAGATGTATCATTCTCATTTCACTGGAGACCGTTCCACACATCTCAGATACAGTTACTGGCGTGTTCTCCTCCACCCTCCCAAACTGACACCGCTTGTCAAACTGATTGACATCCCTCAAATAACCTCACCAGATACAAATTTATAGTGGAAATAGTGAAAAACTTACACAGAAGAATCCCCGTGAAAAAAAGAACCCCATCTGATTGCTTCTCCTATGGGGTTCTTTTTTGGTATGAAAAGAGTATATAAACCAAATGTCTGCTGCCAATTTTGTACTTTTACAAGCACTAACATTTTAACAGCAGAAATGTTAAATATCAAAGTAATAGATGAGCATTCCACTAGAAGGCAATTTCACTAAATACCACAGGTATTAATCTTTCTGAATCTTAATTATACCCTTTTGACATATTATCCTTACGTGACCTTTCCTCCAGAGCTGCGTGAATAGATGGCAGGCAGGCAGGCAAACTCAGCTCTGCCTGCCACCCCTTTCATGCCCAAAATGCTCGGCTCGGTTTAATGCACAAAATGAATGGACAGAAAGATGCAGCTCCTGTGCAGCACAGAAAGCCATCGAGCCACTATTTTCTGAAAGTTATCATTCGAGTTCCAGTTCTGTTCCAGGATTTTCCCTTTTCTCGCTGTGGTCACGTCTCAGAACATAGAGTTTTAATTAATTACTAAGAGTGTAGAACTATAAAATATTGCTGAACAACTAAACTTTTTGAACTAGAACCATCCAAGCAACATTTAAAAACAATTAGTAATGGCAGCCCTTAATTGAAGAAACTGAATTTCAGCTTAGATTAGTAAAGGCTGGCAGTTCCAAGATTAAAAAATAACGATTTTGCCACTAAGCCCCACTTACACCAATCAATACTGAAAAGTATCCAGATGTTATTAGGTCAACTGAATAAGCAAAAGTGGGTAATTGGGGCATATAAAAATTTAGGAAATGTGAGGAGTGTCACATAGAGATGATGCACAGGGAGAAGAGTCCTACTCTGACCTTCAGCAAGTTACTTCATCTTCCTTGGTCACAGTTCTCTCATTCACAGAGTTGTCTGAGATATTCCTCCTTAATATCATCCACTTCTATCCGATGCTCAGGCTGTTCTTCATGACACTTCCAAATCCAGGGCATCTTTTTATTACATTATACAGCTTGAGTCCCAGAAAGGAAATTTTGCATTATAAATTCTCAGCTGGAAGAACGTGCAGCACTAAACTCTGTGTGTCCTACAATTGTTTTGTAGCAATCCACGTTCTCCAGAGTTCCCAGCGTGGCCTGTTAGGCAGCACCAGCACCTGCCTGTGCCTCTCATGGGCTTTCAGAAATCCACAGCCCCTGAGGGAGTGTCTGAAGCACCTGAGAGCAGAACTTTATTAAAGCCGAAAGTTAAATAGGAAGAGTTTCTTCCGACCACACAAAAAGCCCAGGCAAACTTAGGACTCAGAATGCTTTGCCAATCCATTCTGAGACCTGTGCTTGGTTTAACAGAATGTTTTAACTTTTTAACTACCTTGTCAGCAATTTTGGAGATGCACAGTCACTCTCACATGTATCATTAAGCTGAACATAGCCTGAAGATGAATTCTTACCATTTTTTGTGCACCGCTCTGCTTGAGTAGAAACAAACTGAATGAATATTATTTGATAAATATTTACTCTGCATACCAGTGCTGATTGATTTGTCATAATTTTCTGTTTAAATTTATATTGCATTAAGAATTGCCATTTTTTTCTGGTGTTTTGTTCATTCAGAAAGGTTAAATGATTATTAACTCTGACTAAGTGGCAAGGTAAGTGTCCTTGAAATGCGTGATGGTTTGATTGGGGCTGTTGTTCTACTTTGTTGTATTTTTTCATTTCCTCTCATGTTTCACTATCAAAGCAACTTCCATATTTTGTATCCAAGCACAGGAGAGAATTAAGCAGAGAACTCCAAAGCTGTGGCTGTTTGCAAATCCTGAACAGTTTTAATAAGGGAATATAAAATTGTATCCCTACAATCACTAAAGTATTGCTAAATGGCATCTTTTTTCAGGATTAAACCTGTTGGATTACATATAATCAGTGCCTATGGTGAGCCAGGGGTTTTTTTTCCATTCTGAGAAACGTGTGTTTTTATGCCTGATCATGCACTTGTGAGAATGGGGCTTGCTCTGAACATTTCAAGTGTCCAACATTGAACTTTCAAGTCTGTGGGAAAGCTGAGAAACAGACAGGAACAAAGTGGCTGTTTGGGAATTATAGGGAGAACATATTAAAGGATAGTCCAGTTTCATCAGTTCTGATTAAAAAACTAATAAAAGGAATGTTTGGAAAAACATCTCCCTTACTAAATACACACATGTAGTTATAAATGTAATTCTGATAATGACTTAGTTGAACATGAGCTATGTGTGTATGGTTTGGATTTTATTGATGGTGAAGGTAAGAGAAGGGTTTCAATATTGATGTCAAGCAATACTTTTTATTGCTCCCTGGATTAACTCTCTCTCACATTGCTGGTGTTTTACCCAAAAGTATTGTACCTAGTGGATTAGGACTTCAAATACTGCTAGGATACAAAAGCTCTTTACAGTAAAATCCAAGACTCTAGTAATTATTATCCAAGTCTTTCAATGTTTTTTGATGTTTGGGTTGAGCTTTCAGCGAGAAGATTAAAAAAGAGGGAGGAAAAAAAAACCACAAAAAATATTTTCAGTTGATATAAGAGTCTTCAATGTCTCATCTATTGATTTTCCTCAGATCTTTAAATTCACAGTGTGACTTATATTCCATGAAATAGGGTCATTGACATCTGAAAACGTACTACAAAAAATATACACTTCATATCCCATGGCCTGAAACACATAATTGTCTAATGAAAAGGTTATCCAGTGTGTTAAATCCATCACTTACAGAAATTTTTTTCTTGCTTCTAAGTGAACAGATTTTGCTGCATTTTAAGAGAGGAAAAGCTTCATGGTGATTGAAAAAGTCTGTGGGTACTGCACTGTCTGACCACGGGCTCAGAGAACCTTTGTTCTAATTTATGTAATGGAAGATTTCATACAGTGATATCCCTAAACTGACCACACAGTAACACACTCTCTGGCCTGCAAACTCACATTTCTCCTACTACTGCCTTTCCAACGTTAATCAGAATAGAAAATAAAGAAGGTCTAAGGTTTAAAGGAAACCTTGAACTAT